AGCAGAAAATAAGCTCTTCTTGCTTTGAAATCTCAGAACATGGTAGCTGCTACTTAATCACATTTTAACTTTATAGAGGTATTTTTTTCCTGTTTAGTCTCTTAAAGGGCAGGTAAGATGGTTCATCTTGTCTGCTCTACTTGTGAATAGCATTAGGCAACTTCTGGAGAGGCTAGAGGCTAAACGAATGAATTAATATCTGAGTAAATAGGCTTCCTGGAATAGTACTCCTATCCATGGGCTGAGGTAATGGGGATTTGAGGGTATGATACTTGCCATAATAAGATCCTGAGAAAGGGGTACTCTCTGCCCAATGCTCCTGCAGATACCATTAGCCCAATTGTACAAGTCCATTCAGGACACATTGACTGACGCCTGACATGTTCCAGGCTCACTACTTGGCTTGAGAAATACAAACAATATCATGTACCTTCACCTTAGGCACCCTTCAGATAGATAGCAAGGTGTTCCGGGACTCTGGCCATTGGTATTTGGTATGGAGGTGCCTAGTCATATCCCAAGTGAGGCAGTGCTCACTGTGCTGAAATCTGTCACAGATTTGCCTTATTAGAACGACATTGGCTTGGCTCTGCTTGGCTAACTTACGCTCTTGGTTGCTTTGACTAATCCATTCCCATAGTTTAGAAATTTTATCCCAGTTACATTTTAAACTTGATTTGTGTTTAATTTTTAACTTTATTAAAGCCAACTTTACTGTGGAACTCAGAAAAATTGGCAGTGAGTACTTTTACATTTCACTGTTTTCAGACTTTCGGATGGACCTTTCTAGTCATCTTTCCCATTTTATTATTTTCCACTGTTGGGAAATAGTGTCATTTTATTTAAGTCGATCAATATTGATACTTGCTTAGGGAGGAAATAGACATACGTAATAGTCAAGTGTTACCATGGTATTGTACATGTAAGAAAAACAAGTCCACTCATTTTGAAACATTTCAGTGTCTCAGAACCATCCTTTCTCACACCTGCCCTCTATTCTGGTGCACCTTTATATTCCAGTCATTCAGTTGAACTCTTTTAATACTTGAAGCTCTCAGAATTCTTTTTGTGTCACTTCACCACTTAATTTCTCCCTCTGCTTTAGGACCAGGCCTCTCATCCCTTAAGAAACCTACCACTCCCTTCCCACCTCCATCCTTCCCCTTCTAGGATGAGTTACTTGCCTCTTATGTCTGTTTCTGTCACACACTGTGCCTCTTTCTTTCAGAGAACTTACCACAGTACATTATAGCTATTAGTTTACTTGTCTGTTTCTTCTAGCAAGCTGAAGTCTCCCCAATAAATGGGCCTATATCTGATTCCTCTTTTGTATCTAGAAGTTAGCACAGTGTCTGTTATATATTTGATACTCAGTAAACGCTTATTAATTAGACGATTCAATGCCAAGCTTTCTAAACTCATTTCAGGGATGGAAGCTATCAGGAGTACTATTAATTTCTCTATTATTGGACTGTGTTGTAAAAACATGAATTAGTAAGAAATTAATAACATTACATAGTTACATATTTGTAATTGTAAAAGTAACATTAAATAACGTTGTAAAACATTTATTAGTGGGCAATTAATTTCTTCTGTAAAAAGAATACGTAATTCAGTTCCTGAGCAACTTCTGTCCTATAAGCAATAATCTACCAGTTGGTACTTAACTATCATAAAAGTAGATGAAGCAGACTATTGTGTACCCAGAAAAAAGGTGGATAAGGGAGGAGTGAAGGATAAAGAAGGGAGTGAGTTAGCAAAATGCCACACAGTTACTTGCAAACTAGCACAAAGGTGAATGTGCTTTATGAAGGTAGCTTGACTCAGATGGGCTGAAATAGGAGCAAAGAGCAAAAGGCAACCAACGGTGAAAGCAAGAATTCACAGGGAACAGGCAGGCATGCGAGCAGGTGAGCACCCAGATGGGACATGGGTCCTGTGGGATTGTGGTCTCTCAGGCTCTGAGTGACAAGGAGGGAGGGAACCCAGAAGTGAAGCTCTGGAGAGGCAGACAAGGGAAGAATAGTGTTTACTATAGAGACAAAGATACACTGAAAAGACTTTAGAAGGAGATGAGCATAGTGACGAACACTGGCTGGCACCAAAGTCTCAATGAAAAGAATTGAAGATGGGGCTTTGTTGGGAGTAAATAGGAGATAGAGAGCAAGAGATATTGAGAAGACCAATTCTGAAAGTAGTGGATTTAAATAAACTGATATGTACTTACCAGTTTAAACAAAATAAACCTGACTGTGTACATTATTTTCAGTAGCATATAAAACTTTTAATATAATTGACACATTTGGAGAAACAATCCTCCCTTGGAAGTTTGGAATCTTGGTCTTCCAAAGGGTAGGAAATCTCCTTTTGGAAAGAAGTCAGCTATTCTATTCTTTAGTGGGTGAGATCCAGTCCCTGAGCTATTGAACACTGTTCTTCCCTTCAGAATATTTATTCAACACCTACTTTGTGGTCGCTCTGTTCCAGCAGCAAGAACACATCAGTGAACAAAACAGATATTCCTGTCTGTGTATAACTCACATTGGGAAGGGGAAGAGATAGTTGGGGAACAGGAAATATGAAAAAAACAACAACACACCCAAAATAGTAAATTGTATAGTGCATTAGAAGAAAAGTGCTATGGAGAAATATAACAGGGGAGGACGGTAGATGTGTATGTGACTGAGTGGGTTGCATTTTATAGAGTGGACAAGGAAGGTCTCACTGAGAATCTAATGGCAATTGAGCAAAAACTAAAGCGAATGAGCAAGCTGTGCAGGCTGGTGTTATGTTAATAGGACACTATTCTATGTATTCTAAATTGTAAACCTTTCTATTACCATTCTTAAAGTAGCTAATTTTAAAGAATGAGATTAGAAGTGGTGTTAGAAGGTGGGAATGAGAACAAAAGAGGCATTTTATGTGTTCATCCTTTGCTGTCTTTAATGTTTAGTTTTACTAGTACACTGAACACCTGGTATGACTCTGCAGTTTTCACTCCATGAAAAAGGATAGCTAGTATGCTTTTTTTTTTTCTTTGAAATCTCTTTTGAAAAACAAATTCTTGCTTAATGGAAATAGAAGATGGAGAGGTTTTTCAGAAACAACAGTAATAGAGAAAATATGAATGAGCCCTGAAGAAGCTGTTGTACAACAGTCATGGAGATTAGGGAAGACTGGTGACTGGAAAGTCCCTAAGTACACTGCCTGGGGAGAAAGGGATCAGGTATTGAATATGGTTTGAGCTCTGGACAAGGCCAGGATCTGTTAATGCTCAGAGAATCCTAAAGGTGGTTTCTGTTTTCAGTTACTTAGATTGATCTACATGACCAGCTTATTTTCTGTAAAAGAAGAATCAGCCAAAGGGAGTAATTTAAGACGTGAGTATGAATCTGTCCAGGCATTTGCCCTGGTTTCAGTGGTTGATTTAATGGGATGCAGTTTCCTTTGTGTAAGAGTCTAAAAATTCTCCTTTCCTAACCAATAACTCTCATTCTTAACTTTAGGAAAGAAGTTCAGCCTTGAAGAGTGTTCATACTGATAATTCTAACTCTGCCTTTGTAGTATCTCAGAACAACTCTCTTTTAAATAGTTTAAAATTCCAAATGCAATTAATTTTAATTTGCTTTTATTTTATGTGTCCCCTGTGGAGAGTGATACATTTTGATATAGGAGATCAACAAACTTAAGAATGATTGAAAATCCTCACTCAGTATTCCAAATATACCGAGTATTCTATTAGAGATAAGGGGACTGGGAAATGGGGACTTTGGAATTAGCTCTTGTTTAACCAGTAACTATGGCTTATACCAGGTGAATTTCAGGGATTAAGCTGGATAAGAAACCCCCCCAAAAAAACTGTTTTGGCACATCAGAATGAAAACTAAACTACAGAACAACCATCATTCAGAACCACCTGAAATCTAGCTGAATGGAAATCCTACAACTAGGGATTTAAAGCAGAAGCCACAGTAAGACTGGTAGTAGGGGTGAGACAGAACAGGCTGGTCCCACATCCATGTGTAATGGATAAAAATTGGGAGGAGTATTTTGGCTGCAGAGGTCCCCCCTGAGAAGCGAGGGGTCCCAGCCCCACACCCAGTCCCCCAGCCCAGGGTTCTAGTACCTGGAAGAGAGATCCCCAGGACTTCTGACTGTAAAAACCAGCAAGGATTATAGCTGAGTGAGATGGAGTACTGCCTCATAAAGGGTTCACACTTAGAGTAACTTGGTCTTACTCCCTCTGAGCTCCAGTGCTGGGGCAGCAGATTGAAAGGAACCAGGGACATACGAGGAACTAAATTATCTGACATTAGGGCGAGAGTTTAGGGGACAGCTTTTTTCCCAATGAAAGTGCCGGCAGAGGCCATTGTTCTTTTTTTGAGACCCCCTCCGCAGAGGCAGTAGGAGGGAGCCATATCTGAGTTTTCCATCACCCTGGCTCACACTGTTTGCCCGACCCTGGTGATTCCTTGAGACCCCACCCAAACTGTTTCCAGTGGCTTTTCCACATGAATGGTCTGTTTTGGCTTGTGCTTCAGATTTTCCTAAAATCTCTCAAGCAGCATCTGGCCTCAGTGTGCCCCATACCTCTCACTAAGTGGCCCCAGGTCCAGCACTAGTAGCAGCAGCCTTGGTTTGCCGCTTGGTCTCATCGGGGCACCTCCAAGCCCAGCACAAGTAGCAGCCATCTGCAGGTCACGTTGTAGCTCATGCTGCGTGGCCCCAGGCAGAGCACAGGCAGCAGCTGACCTTAGCCTGAACTTCCTGGGAGGCACAAAGTCAGTGCACCCAGTGGACAGCTTCAGACCACATTGAAGCACCACCCAACCACCTCCACATGTGGCACACTTCAGAGGTGGACTCAGCAGGCACCAAGCCCTGCCGAGTAAGTCTTGCTCTGTGGGGTGGGCCCTGCATAGCTGATCTTCCACGGTCATTGGTGGTCACAGCCAGTCCTTGCAGCTGATTGGCCTGGGCGATAAATCCCTCCCATTGTTGTACATACAGCAATCAAGGCTCAACTACATAGGAGGTGTATACAGCCCACCTGGGGCTGGGGTTGGAGAGTACAGTGTGCCACAACCTTTTGCGGGAGGGGGGGAGGGGTCAGGATCTGGAGAAGGGGCTGACGCACAAATGAAAACACTAGACAAGAAATATGAATTTAGAAGGCATGGGGGGCCAGGTGGAGAGGCACACTGAAACCTGGCCTTATCCGCTTTTTATTCAATTTTAGACACACATCTTGCCCTCAGTAAAGCACAGCAAACAGGTAGCAGACAAACCGTCTCTAAGGTCAATAAACATCAGTAAAGATCAGTAAGGTTCAGCAAACATTTACTTTGAGGCTGTTAAGTCAGGAATTTGCTTCGAGCCACCACTATCTCAACACAGCCTTGCTAACGTCCAAGGTCCATTGGCCTTCCGCGTTCCTTGGTGCACTCTTATGACAGTATTGGGAAAGTGGTGGCTTCCTATAACAGTGCACCTAGAGTGCCCAGCTCAGGTGAACAGGGAGGCTGTGCCACTGGACCCTATAGAACACCTAGTACATAAGGCCACTCTACCAAGCGAGGGGGGATGTTGCAGCTCTACCAAATAGAAACAAACACAGGGAGGCAGCCAAAATGAGGAAACAAAGAAACATGTTCCAAAGGAAAGAACAGAACAAAACTCCAGAAAAAGAACTGAACAAAATGGCAACAATCTACTAGATGCGGAGTTCAAAGCACTGGTTATAAGTATGCTCAATGAGCTTAGTGGAAACTTCAACAAAGAGGGAGGAAACATAAAATGGAGATAGAAAACAAAAAAGAACCAGTCAGAAATGAAGACTATACTAACTGAAATGAATACATTATTGGGAGTCAACAGTGGAGTACATGAAACAGAGAATCAAATAAAAGATTGGGAATGTAAGGAAAGCAGAAAACACCCAATCAGAACAGCAAAAAGAAAAGAGAATTACCCCCAACCCCCCCCCCCCAAAATGAAGATAATATAATGAATCTCTGGGACAACTTTGAATAATGGGAGTGCTGGAAATAGAAGAGAGAGAGCAAAAAATTGAAAACCGTCCAGCTGGTGTGGCTCTGTGGGTGAGTGTTGCCCTATGAACCAGGAGGTCACTGTTCAATTCCCAGTCAGGGCACATGCCCAGTTTGTGGACTTGATCCCCAGTGTTCGGCATGCAGGAGGCAGCTTGATCAATGATTCTCTTTTATCATTGATGTTTCTATCTCTCCCTCTCCAGTTCTCTCTGAAATCAATAAAAATATATTTTTTAAAAAGAAATTGAGGCCAAAACCAGTTTGGCTCAGTGGATAGAGCGTCGGCCTGTGGACTGAAGGGTCCCAGGTTCAATTCACGTCAAGGGCACATGCCTGGGTTGTGGGGCTTGATTCCCAGTAGGGGGCATGCAGGAGGCAGCTGATCAATTATTCCCTCTCATTATTGATGTTTCTATCTCTCTTTCATCCTTCCTCTCTGAAATCAATAAAGAAAAAAAAATCTCTCCATTGACCTGCTTTATTACTTTCAACAAGTTATTGAATGTCTCTGTGTTAATTTGTTCATCTGCCCTAAGTTCTTATGGGGATAACATGGCCTGAAACCTTTGAAGGATGTTTTAAAAACCATAATGAAGAAAATAAAAGAAAAAAGAAAAAAAACCATAATGACCTATTTAAGTATTTTATTTATTATTATTTTTTAAAATATATTTTTATTGATTTTTTACAGAGAGGAAGGGAGAGAAATAGAGAGTTAGAAACATCGATGAGAGAGAAACATCGATCAGCTGCCTCCTTCACACCTCCTACTGGGAATATGCCCGCAATCAAGGTACATGCCCTTGACTGGAATCGAACCTGGGACCTTTCAGTCTGCAGGCCGACGCTCTATCCACTAAGCCAAACTGGTTACAGCCTATTTAAGTGTTTTAAATTAAGTTGATTATTTCCTTGAAATGTGGTTGCATGTGCAAGCCAATGTCAACATTGTTGGTCACAGTGTCAGTCCAATGACCTGATTTTTGAAGGTTGGGAACACCCTGGTGCTGGGACTTTATAACTCCTTTGGAACTTTATAACTTTATTTCAGAAATTGAAGCTTCTTATATCAAAAAGAAGAAAGAGGGGTAGCAGGGAGAGAGGGTTAGTATATGATCTAAAGATAAAGTTGTCAAAGTGGCGAGAATAAAATTTGACTACATTAGGAGCAAGGTGTCAGAGAGAGCTTTTGAATGTGTGAGATCCACCCTACAATTAAAAGCAGAGCTTGGTTAAATATATTTTATAACCCAAATTTCCTTTTGTAGCCAAATAGCCTTTAGAAAAGGTCCTAAGAGTCTGTGTCACCCTGGTCTATCTGGTTGTTCTGGTTATAAGAAATAGAGAAGAAGGAGCACCTTAAGAAAGGGGTGGTACTTCTGTGATGGGTGTTTCTTCTTTTACAGGTGCAAACAAAAAGGCCACTTGATCTAACCTTGCGTATCTTTATCCTATAAGCCACTGCAGGTGTTTGAGCTGCACTGCTTCTACAACAAAGGTCTCTAGACTCACCACATCTTGGGAAGAGAATGGCCACTTCCTGGGGAGCAGCCTTTTTCATGTTAGTGACATCCTGTGTTTGCAGCACTATCTTCCACAGAGACCAGCAGACTTGGTTTGAGGGTGTCTTCCTGTCTTCCATGTGCCCCATCAATGTCAGTACCAGCACCTTGTATGGAATTATGTTTGATGCAGGGAGCACTGGAACACGAATTCATGTTTACACCTTTGTACAGAAAATAGCAGGTAAGTGCACTGGTACCCTCGCCAGAGTCAACAAATCCATACTCTAGTAGAAACAAATGTACTGAGAGTGTGTAATGTGCATTACAGAATCTTATGGCTACTGAATGTCTTTCTTCAGAGAACATTTTGGACTATAATTGAGTACATAATGTTTAATTCAATGTGAGATTAAGGGGGATCTGGGTTGCCTGTAGTTTGAAACTCATGTGTCCAACAAGTATAGCTGAAATTTGTCTTTCCTTTCCTTTTCTTTTTTTAAACATATTTTATTGATTTTTTGCAGAGAGGAAGGGAGACAGATTGAGAGCTAGGAACATCGATGAGAGAGAAACATCGATCAGCTGCCTCCTGCACACCCCCCACTGGGGATGTGCCCACAACCAAGGTACATGCCCTTGACCAGAATCGAACCTGGGACCTTTCAGTCCGCAGGCCGACGCTCCATCCGCTGAACTAAACCGGTTAGGGCCGTCTTTCCTTTTCTTGAAAGGTGGTTGATACTTCCGGGTGCAGAATATTGAGAATATTGAGGTAGTCTCGAGAGAAGGAACACTACCATCCTTGGAGAAGGGGAGAAGGGACCCTGAAGTATAATTTTTTCTGAATTTCCAGGGTTTCTGTCTTCAGGTCACATATAAAGCCTAGGGAAAGGAGCAGGAACAAGGTGTCCACCAGAGAAATGACAAGGGGACTCTCAGGGATTGCCTATCATCCTCTGTCCCCCTCCTCAGCACTCCTGCAAGCCATTCCTCACAGGGGGGATCACCTGGAATAGCTCAGGGAGTAGCAGGTTAATCTAGGAGGTCGTGTGACACACAGCCCAGCATCAGAAGCAGCCTAACTTTTGGTAATCAGCCATCTCTCTTCTGTTTTAATCCCTGGACAAAATAGGACAGCTTCCAGTTCTGGAAGGGGAAATTTTTGATTCTGTGAAGCCAGGACTTTCTGCTTTTGTAGATCAACCTAAGCAGGTGAGTTGTTGGTTGTTGTTTTTTTTAATTTTAATAAGATGTTTAGATTCTCAATCTCTTGATAATTTCACCACACAGCTGCTGTTAAATAACTCGTGCTGTTCACTACTGATACTGAGGTTATGTGTGAGATTGGTTTTCTGTCCTCTGCTAATCTCCTGGATAACAGAAATTTTATATCCTGAATTCACTAGGGCTTTGGTGGAAGGAGGCTAGAATCTCTTTAAGAGATTGCTTCCTTTGTATTTACTGTTTAAGATTTTTATTTGAAGCCATCAGCTGCATTGATTAATGTAGATGCAGAAGATGGACATGAAGTTCTATAGTGTATGAGATATACACATGACAGACAATTTAGGGAATGTAGACCCATTGAACTCCTTTCAGAACACCATGATATAGGACAGACCATGCCTATACTCTGGAAATTAGGCAAGAATATATGATGAAAAATCTTTGGTGGCAGAGGATGAATGGTTTTGTGTGTTTCACATTGGGGCACCCACAACATATGCAACACCCAGTGTGTCAGAGGCCACATTAAAATATAATAATTCAGAATAAAATAGAATGTTGAACTTTGGTAGCAGCTGTAAAGATATTATTCAGTGTCTCAAGCAAATCACTAACCAAAGGAAAACCTAATGCTAAAAATAGTTTGAACTTGAAGAACTGAGAAGATGCTTATTTTCTCAGCTCACTGTTTTGAAATGGCAAAAATGCTAGAAAACTAGGAGCTCTTGAAAGCAACTACATTATAAAAGACTGATTTGACATTTAGAGAAGAAGATTGTGTTATGGTTGCTATTAATTATAATGATTATAAGAGGCAGCATGTATCAGGATAGGTGTTTACTCAGAGAAACAGAGGATTTAAAATAATGCTTTTGAATTAATCATAAATTGAGCATTACTGTGTACCATGCATGTAGATGTCAGTGATGTAAAAATGAACCTGACATATTCTGTCCTAATGGAAATAATATAAAGTGTAGCATAATAACAGCTACAGCTGGTCTTTGTGTGGAAACTATACACAGTCTGCCTCATTAATGGACACAGCAGTTTGTGGTGGTGTGAGGAATCTATCCCATCCCACAGCAGAGGAAACCAAGTCCAGGAAGCCCCTATGGTAGGCACAGGGTTAGCAAGCAAGCCTTCTAATTCCTCATTATGTGTTTCCTTCACTATATTCAACTTTTTGGCCTGAAGCTAATTTATATGAGACACAAAATAGCAATCAATTAAAATGACCACACTATAAAAGAATCATTTTTATTACTACTTAACCAAAATGAAATGGATTCTCCTTCAAAGAAGCCATTTGTCTAGGTTTCTGCTCCTACAGAAACATGATGAGGGAATATACAAGTGCCACCATATGGACTCTTTACTGCATGAGCAGCTCTTCTGTTTTTGAAGGGTGCTGAGACTGTTCAAGAGCTCTTGGAGGTGGCCAAAGACTCAATCCCCCGAAGTCATTGGAAAAGGACCCCAGTGGTTTTGAAGGCAACAGCGGGACTGCGCTTACTGCCAGAACAGAAAGCCCAGGCTCTGCTCTTTGAGGTAATATTTGAAATCATCTGCATCTTGGGTAATTATTTTTCCCTATATAAATATTTTCTTTATGGGTTTAAAGCCCTCTGGCGTGTTAACCTTAGTATTGCACCATTGCTAAAGCACTGTGGTGGCTTTGGGCTCTTTTGTAGCTAATTATTTACATTTCAAAATATTACTCTTGAATTTATAGAGTTTTTCCTAAAAATTTAAAGCATTTTCTATCCATGATGTTCTTTTTAAAAAATATATCTTTAGCAATTTTTAGAGAGAGAGGAAGGGAGAGGAAGAGAGAGAGAGAAACATTGATGTGAAAGCAAAACATAGATTGGCTGCCTCCTGTACGCTCCCTACCGGGGATCAAGCCCACAACCTGGTCATGTGCCCTGACCAGGAATCAAACTGGCAACCTTTTGGTGCACTGTAGACCTAATGAGCCACACTGGCCAGGATCATGATGCTCTTAATTTTCTAAACTTATTACAGCAGAATTGTTTTTAATCAACTTTAATGAGAAATAACTTACATACAATTAAATGCATGAATTTTGCCAGAACCGGTTTGGCTCAGTGGATAGAGCGTCGGCCTGTGGACTCAAGGGTCCCAGGTTCGATTCCGGTCAAGGGCATGTACCTGGGTTGCGGGCACATCCCCAACAGGATGGTGGTGTGCAGGAGGCAGCTGATTGATGTTTCTCTCCCATCGATGTTTCTAACTCTCTATCTCTCTCCCTTCCTCTCTGTAAAAAAAACTCAATAAAATATATTTAAAAAAAAAATAAATGCATGAATTTTAAGTATACAGTTAAATGAGTGTTGATAAATACATATGTTCCTTGTGCCACTTTGTAGTCTATTTCCCCCTCCAGTGAAACCAGGCAACCACTGATCTGCTTTATGTCATTATAGATTCGTTTTGCGTGTTCTTACATTTCCTGTAAATGGAGTCATACAGTTTTATATTTCCTTTTTGTGTGTGTGTGTCTTACTTTTTTCTCTCAGTATAAAGGTTTTGAGAAGATTCATGGAATTGTAAAATACAGAAGATTTTTAAAGATATCTATTTTATCGCTCATTCAGATCAAAACTAAGTACAGAGAGTTTTAAAAAACTCAATATTTTAAACATTATTGTACATTTTATTATACAAAAATGTGTAAATTAATAAGATTTAATATTGTGAAGAATATATGCAGAATCCCATTATAACAAAAAAAATCACAGCAAAAAAAATGATTCTGTATTTAGGTGTGTTAATTCAGTCTTATAAATCCACTAGAGGCTGATGCACAAAATTTGTACAAAAGGCTTGGCCCTCGTAGCCCCAGCTTCATCCGGAAGGTCGTTCCACTGTTCTGCCATTCAGTCGATTTGCATATTACCTTTTATTATTATAGATTCTCCTTTGTCAGTACAGAGGGCTTAAGTCCCTTGCCCAGGGACAAACTGCCTGGAATGTCCTTATGAAAATCTGAATCCCAATTCTTCATTCATTCATCCATTCATTCACTCATGTATTCATCATATAAGTGCTTTACTATGTACTGGGCACTGGTGAAGTGGGACATAGAGCAGGGAACAAAAATAACACTGTCCCTGTCTTAATGGAACTAACATCCTAGTTTCCAAGACAAAATGAACAAGTCAATACAAAGTATGTCAGGTACTTTAGAAGCTATGGAGAAAAAATAAAGCAGGGTAAGGCAGATCGAAATGCTGGTGGTAGTGTAAGAGAGATGCTATTTTAAATAGGGTGGTCAGGGAAGACCTCATGGGTAAGATGCATTTGATCAGAGATCTGAAGGGAATGAAGAAACAAGCCATGTAAAACGTTTGTGAATGTAAAATATTCCATACTAGAGAAATAGGGGTAAAGACCTAAATCAGGAATGTGCTTGGCATGTTCAAGGAACAGCATCCAGGCTAGGGTAGCGGGAGGAGAGGGAGTGATGGAAGAGAAGTAGGAGATAAGTTCAGAGAGGTGGGAGGGGTTTATCATGTAGGGCATCAAAGGCCTATGTAAGGACTTCGGCTTTTTCTCTAAGAAGGAAACCACAGGAGGGTTTGAGCTAAGGAGAGACATAATCTGATGTCTGTTTTTAAAGCACCACTCTTGGCTGCAGTATTGAGAATTAATTGTGAGCAGAGGCATGGAGTGGAGAGGGCAAGAGCAGAAACTATGTTTATTCCTATTTGCTTATCTATCTTCCTAAATGCTTGTTTATGGATCACTTAACTGACCTGTCCTGGTTGAAACAGTGTTCAGAGGTCACTGCAAGAAGTGTTTTGTCCTGTCAGAAATGAGAACAACCAAGACTAGAATTTTTCCTATCTCTATTTGGGACATCTCCCTCCCCAACATGATAATCATATAAAAATAAGACATAACACTCACATTATTGACCTATATTTATGGAGAGTCAAGAGCATTTGCGCAAGCTCTTCATTCTCATCTTCTAAAATAGAATCAGTAAATTCAAATTTGAGGCCCTAGCCATGTGCCAGGATTTGATAGGGGCTGGCAGCAGAGTACTTCAGCCCAGGGACATGAGCTCCTTTACCACTAAGGACAAAAACTAGAATTTGATGGGAGAGCAGCAGAAATTTTATTGTAGCCTAAGGAGCCCCCAGGCCCAACTCTTCTCTACTCTCCAAGTTTATCTGCTCATCTAAGAATTGGAGTGGGAAGGGGTCCTCCTAGCTTCCAGCACATATCCAGGTAGAATTAATCAGGTGTTTTTAAAAAAATTACAGAATCCTGATTTGAGCAAGGTCAAATGTATGCCCTTTCCTAGGTCCAGTTCACCTATAAATGTAGATGATTTGGTTGCAATTTATTTTAAAGTCAAGGGAATCCCTGTGTTTTCTTTTTACAAGAAACCACTAATATCTTGCTTAGTTCCTTCTCCAGCTTTTCTTTTCTCTTTAAAATATATTTTTATTGATTTCAGAGAAAGGAAGGGAGAAACAGAGGGATAGAAACATCAATGATGAGAGAATCACTGATGGGCTGCCTCCTTCAGGCCCCCCTACTGGGGATCCAGCCTGCAAACTGGACATATGCCCTGACTTCCTGGTTCTTAGGTTCATGCTCAACCATGAGTCACACCAGCCGGGCCTTCTCTAGTTTCTTTAGGGAAAATGAATGAGTTCTAAGATTTTATTTAGGGAAAATGAAGAGAGTAGTTTTCTAAGCCTTTTAGGACATAGCCAAAATATGGAAATCTATTTTATTGCTTTAGGGAATTCAAATTTTTTCCTTTTTCTTTAGGTGAAAGAGATCTTCAAGAAGTCACCTTTCCTGGTACCAGATGACAGTGTTAGCATCATGGATGGATCCTACGAAGGTGGAGAGGTGTTGATATATGTTCTAGAGGGAGAGGGCCAGGGTTAATAAAAGATCTGATTAAAGGACTGTGAACAGGATGAGGGTGCTGAAGAAAAAGGAACTAAGGGGAAACAAATAAACATAGAGGAATGGAATAGCAGGAAATGGGAAGATGGGGAGAAGGGAAGTGTGCACTTTAGACATGAACTTTAGAGAGAAAAGAGAGTAAAGATGGGGCCCGAGAAGAGAGGGAAAGTGCTCTGTGATGTAATCCTTGCCTCTCTGTCTTTTTTAGGCATATTAGCTTGGATCACTGTGAATTTTCTGACAGGTAATACATTCTCAAGTGTATCTTAAGATTTTGAATGGGTTTCACACAGGATCACAGCAAAATTACCTTTCTTTTTTCCTGTATTATTCTTTCCTTTTGTGAAAAAGAGGAAAGGAAAGACAGGATTTAGTGTTTATAACCTGCCTTCAAGGCCTCAGCTGCAGCAAGAGTCCTTCGTGATTAACATTTGCCTGTAATCCATGGGGGCAGGGAGCAATGGAGTGTTTATGGAATTCCTCCAGAGCAGGAGAGAAATTGCAGACCAAGGAGTATTGGGCTGTCCAGGAGCAGAATATTTTCAAACTGGCTCTCATCCACAGGTCAGCTGCATGGCCACAGTCACGAGACTGTGGGGACCCTGGACCTGGGGGGAGCCTCCACCCAAATCACATTTCTACCCCAGTTTCAGGTGAGTCATTACCATGAAGGTTTGGTTAGCAACTCACTTGGCAGGCATATCATGGTGCTAGGAAAGTGGTGCCCTATTTTTAGGCAGCAGCTCCACCACAAATAGGCTGAGTAGAATAAATTAATAACTGAGTGGACTTTTCTTTATCACTGTTCAGAGTCCCTTTCCTTCCTCAAGTCATATGAGATTAGCAGTTTAATCTGTCTCCGTCATCTCTTGTTTTCTGGGGGAGGGACAGGGATGGTGGTGATGACATCCTTAGAATAATCGCAGATTCTAAATAGCCTTTTTGCTTTTTTTTAATTTTCAGAAAACCCTGGAACAAACCCCTAGGGGCTACCTCACTTCCTTTGAGATGTTTAACAGAACTTATAAGCTCTATACATATAGGTGAGGAGGGGGACAGGGAGGAATAATATTTCATGTAGTATGAGCCTTCTAACTTTTTAAAAAATATATATTTTTAATGATTTCAGAGAGGAAGGGAGAGGGAGAGAGAGATAGAAACATCAATGATGAGAGAGAATCATTGATTGGCTGCCTCCTGCATGACTCCCACCGGGGATTGAACCTACAACCTGGGCACATGCCCTGACTGGGAATCAAACCATGACCTCCTAGTTCATAGGTCTACACTCAGCCACTGAGCCATGCTGGCCGGGCAAGTCTTCTAACTTTTTTT